ATCCCCATTCCTCTCACATTCACAGCAGAGCTACGAAATCCAGTTATCATTGTGAGGCTAGTCGGCAGTCTGAGGTGATAGTGTGATCTGAGAAGAAGGAAGGATCTGGCTCGGCGAAGAAGTTCAAGTTCCATTTTGGTAGTCAATCTTAGGGTTCATGATGTTTTACTTCTCAGTCGATTATTTCTAGATCTGTTGGTGCTACGCCATGTTTTGGATAATCATCTTCTTATTGATTCTCCATTGTCCTCGTCTATCCCGATTTCTAGATTAAGTCTCGGTTGTATTAGGTTGCTCTTAACCATGTATCCCTAGATCCCCGTGTGGTTTAGTATTCGAAGTCGTGTAATCTTTCATGTAATCCTTGATCTACAAAATGTAATCGCGTTTTTCCCCTTTTCTGGTTCTAGCTTCGAATCTCGGGACGAGATTCTCTTTAAGGGGGGTTGGTTGTAACACCACGGTGTTACAATCTTATTTAGCGCCGCGATTTAGGCCTAAGTAAAACTTTTGAAACGAGTTTCTCGAATTTTCGATTTAAAACATACGTGAGACAATAAGCGAATCTTGTGTGACTTAGTTCGCGGACTCGAATTAAGCGCTCAAGTTAAACTACGCCGTACGTAGGGATATCTATGATTGTTCGACGATGATTCTAGCGAACGGTATGTTCTGTTAGATTAAGTATGAAAACAACTTTTATAAATAAAATAAAATTCATTAATACATTGAACGATATATATATATATAGGCTCGTGTGTTTATTTTGAGAAGCCGCTTAGTTGAAAGGTCTTGGGTTTAGTTATTGACTTGCGAGCGAACAGCTCCACAGCGATGACGGGACGTCTCCCTGCTTTGCTCCGTCGCTTGTCGTCAGTAGTGCATTTCTCTTGTTCGAAATCAATCAACTACGATTTATTAGCGTCGCGCCGCATCGTTGACTTTCGTCGTCGTGCCACCGCTCCCTCTCCATCGCGTCCTTTGTCTGATGATCGCCTTAATTGATGTTGGCCGGGTCACGTTTCTACGTCAACGGTCTTGTCTTGCCTACTTCAGTGTCTTGCTTGTCTCTGCCGGCTTTCTCGCAGCCTTGCTTGATAAGATTGTCGAGTCCAGCTCGTTGCTTTTCCCTCTCTCACTGTGTGTGTTGTCGTTTGCTGTAGTTTCCATGCTACCGCACGTGGTCCTGCTCCCGCTCAGCTCAGTGCCTTTATGGGTCCACCTCCATGCTGCTGCTGCCTCTAGGCCTCTTCGTTATCTCAGTGGGCTGACCCCGAGAGCTGCTTGTCCTCCCTTTTTCTACTTGCTGTTCATCGACGCGCCGAGCCACAGTGCCCTCACCTTCCCCTGCTCTGCTCGCCTTGGTCGCCGACACGCGCCATGCCTGGGCCGGCATGCTCTTGGCTGCTGGGCCTTGTGCGGCTATGGGTTATCTTCTTTTTTTCTGCTGAGCTTGCTATTTTATCTAATATGGCTAATTTTGTAAATCCGTAATAAGTCAAATAAAAATCCTAAAATGGTGAAACCAGTTTTGTTAGTCTCCTAAAATCATAATCTATCTAGTAGTGTATTTTGTTCACATAGACTCGAAAAGTTTTTAGGGTTGCTCTAATTATTTTAAAAATGCTTAATATTGTTAAAAGGAGAACTTGTAGGAATTTCCGTGGCGAATTGGTAAGAATATTGGATCTGAAATCTTTACAGTAGGTTCCTAGCAATATTAGCTGCTCACCGTAGTTTTTGTAGCTCTAGAACAATTAGTTGCTAGATAAATAATAATGTCCTATCGCGAATAAAGAAACACCTTGGTTTATATAACTAAAATAATTGTTGGAAAATAACGCCTTATCGGACAACGTGTATATGTAGCCTAAGTACGGTCGTCGTTAGAACTAGCCCGTTAACTCGAGGTGTAAAGCGTATTTATACGAATCACGATTGCAGTTGATTAATTACATATTTGCATTGCATCGCATGCATATCATATAGGTACGATGATGGATCAACGGATCGATCGAATGATGATTGGGAATCTGAAGATGGGGTAATGGTATTCTCTCTAGGAGATGATGCAATGGGCTTTCTATTCAGATGATGTAGATGATCTGAGGATGCAGATACTAACTTTTAAATATATCTTATCCAGGCAAGCCTCGGTGCATAATCCCTACTTTCTGCAGTTTAAATTATTTTTGTGCATTAAAGTTTTAAGGAGTTGAATAAAACCCACTTGCATATATATCTTTATCCTATGAGTCTTACTAGTATGACAGGATAGTGTAGAATGTTATGCTATAGGACTCCGGTAGAAGTCGAGTGATTGTCTGTCACCCGCGAGATATAGGAAATATATTACGGCATTATTGTCACTTGGAAAATATAAATGGTGGAAATGATAAATGGTGACCGGACAGGGATATAGTTTGGGTATTGGTGGGTGTAAGAGGTTGTGTCGCCGTGGACGCGGGGTATGGCTTGGTTATACTATTTCCCTGTCCGTGTCAATTAAGGGCCGATCGTTACATGAGGCTCTAGGAAAGTCACAGACTTATTACCCGAGCACATACTTATGTATGGGCGCTTAGAAGACTTGTTGCTCTCTTGTCACGGATCCGGCTCTTTTCGGACCGACTGTCAGGGTTTTATTTTGGTGAAGGAGGTCCTTGCACCGCACTGAGTCCGGGACTCAGGGGGCGGGGGCTTGGAGTCCTAGTTTGGACGGGGATCTAGACACCCGGGACAGGAGAGTGATGGGTTGGTCCTGCTTGTGCCTGGGGTACAAGCGGGGCGTGTGTTTTTGGGGTACCCAGCTGGGGGCATTGATTCGTGAATCGTCGGGAGATCCGGTACGGCTCGTCTGCGGCCTAGCACCGTAGTAAGAACTGAAGATGAAAGATGGAAAAAAGAAAATCTGATTGCTTACCACCTGCTTGAAAGTAGCACATGTGCTTACATAGAATGGTTAGTTAATGAACCAATGCAGCTATTAATAAAAATCGAACATAAGGACGCACGCTTAGTAATGCTTCCTGCAAATGCAATAAACCCACAAGACAGATAACCTTGCATATCCTTGGAGTCTTTTCTTTCCTCCTGTCGGGTAAGTCTTGCTGAGTACAATTGAGTACTCAGGGTTTTATTCCCCCTGTTGCAGGTAACAGGTGGATGCTAGCGCTGGCTCTTGTGTGTGGATACCTCCTGGTGGGCTCAGCGAGGATTCCTTTACGCTACGATCGTAGTTGTTATCCATAACTCTCATCAAATGTTTTTATAAATGGAAGTTTCATAATCTATTGTCGTAGTTATATATCAATGTCTTACCATGTCATAAATATATAGTTATTTCCGCTGTAATTCTGAGCACATGTTTATATTTCGCTGTTTAATTAAATTGCTCATAAACTCTGATAAGATGATTACATTCCGCTGTTATACAATAACTATTATACTCTGATGTTGTACTAAAAGTGATGTATGAAATAGTTAAGAATGATGTAAGCTTTATTCTCTCATTTGTGATCCTGATGGCAAAAATGTGGATTTTCGGGTTCTCCTCTGGGGTGTGCCTGACGGAACCAAGTAATTTAGTGTTCTCCCTTGAGTGCTTAGTGTCTAATGGAAGACAAGCACTCCTGTGAGGCATTAGATTAGACTGTTCTGCCACAGCGAGCTGCATCCTTGTATCCCCTATCTTCTCTTTCTTCCAACGCTTGATACCTTTTGCCACACGCGCCATTTTGATATGCAAGCGTTTGATCGGAAGAGCGGTGGTGACCGGTCTATTCCAAATGTTCTGGACAAGATCTTAGAAGCCATCCATCTTAGTCCAGTAATTTTCAAAGCGGAAGGAAGTGCTGTGATTGTGGTCAAATTCTCCCTGGAGTAGCAGCGGGGTATGGTCCGACATGAGCGATGGGAGGGAGTGTAAGAAACACGATGGGGAGGACAGCTCTCACTCGGGGGTATATAGTAATCTGTCAATTCTAGTGAGCGTCGGGTTTTGCTGTTGATTGCTCCAGGTAAAGCGGCGTCCATTTAGCTTGATTTCTTTGAGCCTCAAATGATCGATCGTCGCTCTAAATGCCCCCATGAGATGGCGGTTGAGATTGGCGTTGTTCTTATCTTCCGCCTGTTAGATGAGGTTGAAATCTCCCAGGATGAGCCATCTATCATTCTCCGGCGGTTGAATGTTTTTCAGTTCTTGGAGGAATTGAAGTTTGGCCTCCTCCCCTTGCGGACCATATACCACCGTAATTTGCCACCTTGTTCCATCTGCCCTCATGTTGATCTGCGCAGTTATAGTGTTCGCGGTAAGTACAATGTCGGAGAGGTCAAAGAAGTCTTCGTTGACCACAAGGAAGATGCCTCCTCGTGTCTGTTCCGCCGGGAGCACAATATAGGAGTTTTCAAATTTCGCTCCGACTGTTCGGCGCACCACATTACGGTCCATAACTTGCATCTTTGTTTCTCGTAGACATACAATGGTGGCGCCGGTGGTTCTCACTAGCTCACTGGAGTCCTGTCAGGCGCCATCATTTAGACCCCTGAACTGCCACACGGCTAAATACGATTGATTGAATCCACGCGTATGCCCTGGTTGTTCTCCAATTTATCCAGCGTTGTTGAAGATCTACCAACTACTAAGCTCCACACATTGTCTGTCCTACTCCTGGTGATGTAGAAAACAAATGTCGCATTTCAGAATTGATTGACGAGTTACACATCACAATGGAGGTTCAGAACCTTCGGTTACTTCGAAAACAAAGCCTACATGCTCACACTAGATGGTTTAGGATGTGGTACAGCTACACAGCTTCATTTCCACGAAGCAAGAAGTTGCATCCACTCGTTTGCAGGTTACAAGAGTCATGTCAGAGATCAACTAAGGCATGCCTCGTCCTCTGGACAGAGGTGCAGTTTCAGTGAAGGTATGCACACGTCTGAAGAGAGAACGCCTTCAGTGTATGTCGTATGCCGTGAAGCTGACTGGACTCTCCACCTCAAGCCTTTCGGACTATCACATGGCGCTCTCTCTTGTACTCCACCTCGTCTCTTTGATGCATGATCAGAAGGGCTCTTCTGACCTGGAAAAGGTTTGAAGATATTATTAGAAAAATGAGTGGTTCTAACTTAAAAATAATTAATTATTTCAGGTTTAAGATATGACAGGTTCCTACAATGGACTCATTCATTCCCATCCTATTTAGTTCATCAATCAGCCGTCGCTCAGATATGTGGCTTCCAATGCCCATTCTTCTCTTTATTTGTGCTTCCGCTTGCTGTCAGAACAAAAATGGAAGGCATTCAGAAAATGCAAGGTTTAAGAGCTGAATTTTGTACCCTGGGCTGCAAAGGCTAACCTTGATTTCATTTGCAATCTCCGGTGACAGGTTCAAATGCTCGTTGATTCCAGATCTTGCAGCATCAACAGTGGAGACATTGAACAGTCTGAATGCCTCTTCAACATGCTCTGGTGTAGCCACACTTGTCCTAAGAGTCATTCAAACATCAGCCATGAATGAAATGAAACAGTGAAAGCTACAACCACATACAACTACAGAACATGAGGCAGAATATATGCAGCATGTGACCAATGTCATTAAAACATATAGCATGTGATCATCTAGCACTTACAGTCTCATCTTTGCAAGGGATTCACTCAAACGTATGATGGCTTCAAGCTGCCTCACAGTGATGGGTATCGCTGCTGCCCTCCCTGTCTCATGAGCTTGCTGCCTCATTTTCTGCGCAATGAGCCAATGAATTTCAAGATAAATACAAATGAATGAAGAACGCAAGATGCTGTCTGAAAGCATCTCAGCTGCTTTTGTGAAAATATCCAGTGCATACCTGTCTAATCTCAATATATTTGTTCTGCAGCATCTCAGCTGCTTTTTCTGAAAGCCGTGGTCTGCATGTGGCACGGCAGTACTCAATGTACCTATACATAAAAGGTTATGCATTAGAAGACAGTAAAATAAAGTCAAATTTACAACAAAAACGCAAGAGGCGGGTCACACCTTTTCAGCCAATTCTCTCCATCACTTGCCTCTGTGCTTGTGGATGAAGCTGCAGCACCACTGGCATGCACCTTGATAATGTGGCTTGCTATTCGCTGTATTTTGAAGTTGCACTTAGTCTCTCAGCTGCTAGAATAGAAAAGCTGTAGAAAGGATTTTGCTTCATACCTTATCTTGATCATACATTCTGATATCTTTGACGATAAAGATTAGATCAAATCTAGAAAGAATGGTCGTCTGCAGATCGATATTATCTTGTGCAGTCTGATGAACAGCAAAAGAAAAAAAATTGTCAAATTAATTGTCTTGCATGTATGGCTAGGACAGTTTATACTTATTGAGTCAATAAAAAACATGTTTACCAACCTTAAGATCATCATAGCGTCCTGCAATTGGATTGGCAGCTGCAAGAACTGAAGTCCTTGAATTGAGTACTGTTGTAATGCCAGCTTTGGCAATAGATATTGTCTGCTGCTCCATGGCCTCATGAATTGCAACTCTGGAATTGCATAAGAAAAGGGGGGCTGGGTTAATGTGCTTTCGAGAGAGCAGACCAAAATAGGAGAATATGTTATATGTTTTATGAGATCTCTATGTTTATTATAGTTCCACCAAGCACATAAATTGATGCATACCTGTCTTCAGGTCTCATCTTGTCAAATTCATCGATACAAACTACTCCACCATCAGCCAATACCATGGCTCCTCCTTCCAAATAAAACTCACGCTGTAGAGAAAAAAGAAATGTTTACAGCCTATGATAACCGAACTTTAGTAAACAACAAACAATTCAGTGAAATTAACCTACCGAGCTACCATCCCGAGTTACAGATGCAGTAAGACCAGCTGCAGATGATCCTTTGCCAGACGTATAGACTGCAATAGGTGCAGTCTTCTCTACAAATTTGAGGAACTGTTGAAACACACATTAGTGTCACTGAACCAGAGACCTTTGGTTTTTAATAGCAAAAATGAATTCATGTAAAATAGTGTCGAATTACTAAAACTGAATTACAGTACTTCTCACATCCAAATCACAAGTCACGACAGATGAGCCTTATTGCCACATTATTTATGCTATGACAACACCAAATAATACTTGCCTGTGACTTTGCTGTGGATGGATCACCCAGAAGCAAGACATGGATATCACCTCTCAAACGTACACCATCAGGTAGCCTCTGCAGTAAGAGTAGTTTGAAGCACAGCATGGGAACACAATTAGGGCAAACGGAATTGCATTTTTTTCTGAAAACATATCAGCTTCTTGATAAGAATGCATACCTTCTTAGATCCCCCAAATAACAAGCATGCAATAGCTTTCTTGACATCAGAATGACCATAAATTGAAGGACCAATCATTGAGCAAAGCTTGGCATATGCATCTGGCCTCTGTGCAAATTCTTTGAATTCCATTTCCTACAAGCCAGCAAGAAAAAATCAGCCTTACAGATAAATGTATCTCCCTTATCAATGTAAACCTTGAAAAAGAAACGACCTCATCAAGAGTGAAGTTTGAGGGGCCATTTGAGTTATTGTCTCGAGATTGCTCCAAACCCACAACTCTAATGTAAGGCTGTTTAACACCAACAGCGCTCTTCTGGCTGCAAAATGGTCTCAATGGCATTATTTCCCATTATTAATCATGTATTGGCCAAGTACAGATTTTTTTTTAAAAAGCTTTAGATTCATCATACGTTGCGGATGCTTGGTAGACGCTGTAGATGCCAACAACAGTTAATCTAGTCCCTGGAACAATAGTCTGAACTAGGTGCCTATCTACAGAAAGCAGCATATTCCTTGGAAGCTCACCAGTTGGAACATCCTGGGCAAAAGGAGATCATTGTCAGTCATATTTACAACAAGACACGAGCAAAACACTGAAATGTATGATTGCTTTGACTTGGCAACTTGCATCAAGGATAAATAGCAACTAACCTCAGGATTCTCCTGCAATTTGAGGGTCTGGAGATCCACATACTTGCTCTTATCCGGGACGGCAATCCAAGGGTCCAGGGGGCAAGGCTCTTCTCCAGGCTACGGGCAAACAATCATATAAATAACCATTTAACGATAAGGATAATACAGTCTCGAGTCTGTTCAGATGTTCTTTTCTGTTGTATGTAAGATTATTTTGGAATAGACTGTGGATGTTATTTGTAGCCGTGATTTCAAACAATCTTTATCAAAGTTTTTGTATTGGACCTACTAGCTTGAGTTTCGAGTCAGGGGAATAAATAAAAATTGTTTCTTTTTTTTTTTTTTTTTTTGGGTGTGGGGGATCAAGTATGCTGCTGACAGTTGAGTACATTGCTGAGGAATATACCTGAGGAACATGGTCACACGAACGTGGAACAATAGCCCCGCCGAGGCCTGGCCTGCAAGGTACTGTCCTCACACTCCGGCAATTCTTGCAGATAAGAGATACATGGGTGGCCTTGGCTTTTACTCTCGATGCAGCAATTACAATTCCCGCAATCTTAACCAGCTTCGACATGTAATCTGCCTGAAATTTCAAACAGCGATACCGAAATGAATTCTATAAAATACACTCAACACCGAAATCCCTTTTAGAATTGCTTCACTACTGACCCCAACAGATCTCATGGACAGGCAGTTCTCCTTGGAGGAGAGGAAGATCTGGACATCTCCCGTGACGGGCTCCTCCATCTCCCCGGTCTCGCCGGCGACTTTCGAACGGAGGCTTGCGAGAACCTCGGCCGCGGCCGTCTCAAACTACGCAGACCAATGTGCGAGAGTCAAATACAACTCCACAGCCCACACAGATAACGAAAACTCTGAGAAACCAACGCACCAGCGGAAGATAATCGGCCGGCGACTTGCGGATCTTGTCAGAGAGCTCGGCATCGAAGGCATCGAGGTCCTCGATGGCGACGGTGACATGGTCGCGGTTGTGTACTAGGCTCTCACTGAACCAAATGAACACATGAATCAGCTCTGTTTCGCAGTGGACTCGTCAAATCTATGGGGAGGGGAGGAGTGGGAGAGTGATGGGGGGCGTACCGGTAGGGGAAGTCGCCGGTGGGGCCGGTGAAACCGCGGAGGAACTCCTTGAACTTGCGGAGGGCGGAGTGGCGGGTGAGGTCGGCGGCTGGGTCGCCGCCGGGGCCGCCGCGGGGGAACTGCGCCTGGTCGCTGTAGAACACGGCGCCCTCGTCCCAGCCCGACATCGCTGCGGCGGAGGCGCGAGAGGGATGCGGGTGCGTCGGCGTGGGCGTGGACTGGGATGACGGCGATGGGACGGGGTCGGGGTGGCGGCCTGGCGGGAAGGGGGTAATAGAGGAGGGGTTTGGCGGGAAAACGGCGGAGCTTTTGGCGGGAGGAGGGGAGCTGCTCGTTGCGGCCGGGCGCTAGGGTTGGGCGGTTGGCGGAGGAAGGGGGGAGGCTTCGAAAACAGGCCTGTTATTCATGGGCTGGGCTGGGCTGGCTTCGAGACTGTGGGGCCTCTATGGAAGCTTGAACCTTTATTGATTGTAACTTCCTCCGTCACAGAATAAATAGCTATATATGATATTTAAAATTTATCTAAAAAAATTAAAATTTATTAGACTGTCTTCTAATGTGGAAGCTAATTATGGTGCATATAAATGATAGCTACCAAATTCAGACGATATGCTCCAAACAAAGAAAAGGGGATGAGGGTACATACGTCTTTTATCGGCGTCTTTAATCTGTTCAAAAATTTATATAAAGTTGTTTATTTTGGGACGGAAAGAGTGAGGGCTAACAAAGCCGGGCCTTCACTAAAAGAGGAATAATACTAGCAAACATATGTTCATGCGATGCAACGATGAGTATATGTTTTATGTCTGCGAACTTATTTAACAATTATAATTATAATGCGCTACAAAATTTATCTTCAATTGACTTTTGTGCCGCTCCACTACGGCGGTCGGTGTCGACTCTAACTCATATGAGCACAAATCTAAATTGTATGGGCACAAGAGGCGTGGAGTCTAAATCCAATGGTTATGTCACGCTCACGCGTTCTAAATTGTGTTGGGATCAAACTCTACACCATGGCTAGACACACTGTTCGTGCTCATGCTGGCACGGGGAAGGAGTGACGTGTGTTCCAAATCATCATAGGAATGAGATTCTGCACCATGCCTAGGACACCCTGCTCTAACTCCTATAGGCCGGTATCCGGGAGACAGTGAAGGACTACGAAAAACACTCCATGCACATGCTTCGCGATAGGTGATTTTAGTATATTTATGTATTTTAATAGCTTCTTGTCGGATACCACAAGACGGGGTACTCTAAGCAAGAACCGAAAAATTGCTTGAGCCTTACAAAAGTCAAAGCCGAAGGACAACCACGAGGTCTCGGCCATTTCTCCGATTCGCCCGAGGCTTGCGCCGAAGCCTCAGGCGAAAGGCCAAAGCCCTCCGCCCCGCCGAGGCCCTCTCGCCGAGGCCCCGCCCCGCAAGGCCTCGGACGGGATGCCAATTCTTCGACTCACCCGAGGCGGGGCGCGGCAACAACCTCGTCACCTTCATCCCAACTGGCTCCCCTGACAAAACGTCGCGGCCCAGATTACGCGCCTAACTACTCCCATAGCAACGTCACCAGACCAGCGATTCAGGCCGGAAAGAAGCGACCGACGGGGGGGACCGAGCGCAGCAGGGGTTACCTGCCACTATGCTCATCACTGTGCCTAATGCCGACACCCGTACTGCCCTATGCTACCTAACCCCTGCGCCAAGGACAAAGCAGCGTGGAAGGTCAAGTCCACGTCCCTGTAGTCTCGAAAACAGCAGGAAAGACCAACTGCTCGTCCTCCGCCTCGTCCGAGACCCCCCGGTAGGGCCTCGGACGTACTTTTCCTCCTCCGCCTTGGCCGAGGCCGGGCTCATCCCGCATCCTCGTCGTCTCCGCCTCAACCGCCCCTCTAGCGAGCCGTCCCATCCGTGTAAGTGCGCCTGAACACACCTACTACGTCGCCCCACGATGGGCGAGGTGCAAAGAAGCGAGGCGATGGGACGGCGGTCAAATCGCCCTTTTTACCATCCCCTACTGACGGTGCAGGGATTACCGTGCCCTATGGACATCCGCTCCGTGCTTTTCCTACCTGAACCGAGTACGACGCGGACCACCGAGACCCCCGCACCATACACCGGTCACCTCCGAGGCCTCGGAAGAGCAAGCCTCGGCACGATCAGCTACAGCACCCGCTAGGCCTCGGCACTCCACCAAATCAAGAATCCATGAGGCACGGCATGTCTCCGGCCATGGAGGCCATACCGACTAGATATCAACAAGGACCCCCACGACCTCAACAACCTCAAGCCCGGCCAACACGGCGCGTCAGTCAAGTACTAATCGCCATTCCCAACACCATGCTGCTACAGGACTGAACTACAGTAAGCTCCACGTGTAGCTCACTCATGTACTCCTAGCTCCCTCCTTGCGGTTATAAAAGGAAGCAGCTTGGGATAGCCCTGGGGGGACAAGAAAAACATACGGAAGAACCACGCTCTCACACACGCGTAAACAACACTCTATAACACACGCTCCCCAAAGTCGCCCGAGAGCAACGTCTCAGCGGCCCGCCATGCCGTTCCACGCCAAGAGACAGGACTAGCTCCTCTCTCTCACCTGACTTGTAACCCCTACCACAAGCACTTGGTGCAAGGAATATAAGATCGATCTCTCAGACTGGACGTAGGGCGCCAATTGCCTGAACCAGTATAAACCTTGTGTCTCTTTGCATCACTATCCGGGATTAGGGGCACACAGCTCAAATTCACTGGTTGGTTGAGGACCCCCAGTCGAAACATCGACAGTTGGCGCGCTAGGTAGGGGCCTCTGCGTGTTAGCTTGATCGTCCCAACAAGTTCCGGATGGCTAACCCCATACGCCCACTACGTCTCGACACGGTGATCTGGTTTGGGAGCCTATAGTTCATATCTTTAGGACGTGAGTACGACCTAGTACTCCTCCCACCCAGAGCCCCTCTGGTCGACGACGGCGTCGCGCACAGTGGCTCGGGCCTTGGGCGGCGTCCGGCCGCCCGCCTCGTCGTCGCTTCGGCCGATCCGCGGCCATGGCGCGACCACCCCGACACCGCACGACCTCAAGGCGACACGCCGCGCTCCGCTGGTATCCTGTGCCCAGCTGTTGGTACGAGGTCCCTGGTTGGGGACCTGTCTGGCCTAAGCTTGGGTAGGGGAAAGACACCGGTGACACGTAGCAATGCCCCGCCGTCAAGTTCCGCACCGCCACCACCCAAGGAGCCAACTACAGCGGAGCAGGGCCCGGCGATGGCCCCGTCTCCATACCCTTTTGGGTTGAGAAACGCCGCCGCCTACGCTTCCGCTCACGCGGAGCCCTTGGGACGCCACCGACGATTCACCCTCGACTTTTCCACCGCAACCTCGACCCACACCCACGCTGACTCCTCAAAAGAGGATGAGACATGGGTCGGAGCGGACTTCTCTGGGCTTCGTGACCTTGAGGCTATGCGCCGCTTTTTGGCCGCAAGCGACTACTGCTTCGGCTACTCCGACTCCAATGACGAAGACACTTACGATCCCACTCGAGAATGCTTCCACATCGGGCTCGGAATGCCAGGGGCAAATAATGAGAATGAAGGGGCAGGTGACCGCTCCCCGCTTCGACAAAGGGCAGGTGACGCCACACCCCCGCTCATCGAGATTCGGGCTGCACGGAACGTGCACGCCTCCCCCGAGGAACTCCGACGCCTAGACCTGGAGCAGCTCCGTGAGCTCCAGGCAAAGATCGAAGATCAACTCCTGCTGCAGCAGCTCTGAGACACTCTCGAGCAGGAGCAGCAGGGTCATAGTGATGGCGGAAGAGCCCGGCGAAGGGCCCACGACGTACACCGCCGCATTAACAATGACGAGGGGAGTGAGCAACCCCCAATCTTCAATCGCGCTAGCTAGAATGTCGCCGCAGCGGCAATGCTAGTCTGGGCGATGCCCGAGCCCTCTACCACGGAGGGGCGACAGGTTCGCGGTGAGCTCCAAGACCTTCTCGAGACCACCGCGGTGCAGCAGGCCAAAAGCTTCGCGTCTCGATGGCACGAGGACACCTTGAAACGGCCCTCAGTGCACGACCGCCTCAGGGCCCCCTCAGTGCATGAACGCCTCTACGACCGACGCGAGGCGCAAGATGACCACGATGTGGTCAGCAGGCGACGACACCATGACAACGACGGGCCCGCCCGAGGCTACCACCCGCACCGAGGCGGCCGCTATGATAGTGGCGAGGACCGCAGTCCTTCTCCTGGGCCACCTGGCCCTCGAGTTTTTAGCAAGGCCATCCGCGATGCCCCGTTCCCCGCCCGGTTTCGGCAACCGGCCAACCTCGTAAAGTACAGCAGCGAGACCAACCCCGAGTTGTGGCTGGTCGATTAACGCCTGGCTTGTCAGTTAGGCGGCGCGAACGATGACCTGCTCATCATCCGCAACCTCCCCATATTCCTGTCAGACTCGGCATGAGCCTGGCTCGAACACCTCCCTCCCTTGCAAATCCACAACTGGCGCGACTTGGTAAAGATCTTTGTCGGGAATTTCTAGGGCACATACATGCGCCCCGGGAACTCCTGGGACCTCAAGAGTTGTCGCCAAAAGCCGAACGAGTCTCTCCGAGACTTCATCCGGCGATTCTCCAAGCAGTGTACCGAGTTGCCCAGCGTCGGCGACTCGAAAGTGGTCTAGGCTTTCCTCTCCGGCACCTCTTGCCGAGACCTGGTCGAGAGTTAGGTCGGAACGTACCAACCTCAGCAGCCGCGCTCCTCGACATCGCCACCAACTTCGCCTCGGGTGAAGAGGCCGTCGGGGCCATCTTCCCCGAAGGCGACACAAAGGGGAAGCGGAGGGACGAGGCCCCCCCGGGGCCTTGCCCTCCTATTTCCCCAAGAAAAATAAAAAGGGACGCCCGGGGAAGCAAGAGGCCCTCGAGGCCGATTTCGTCGCAGCCGCGGATCGCAAGAATCTCCGAGGCCCCGGTAGGGCCCCGGAGTGTTCGACGATATGCTTATGAAGCCCTGTCCTTACCACCAAGGCCCGGTGAAGCATGCCCTCAAAGAATGCACCATGCTCCGACGCTACTACGCCAAGCTCGGGCTCCCCAACGACGATGCCAGGAAGAAGGGCGCCGACGACGGAGATAACGACAAGGACGACGGATTCCCCGAAGTACA